AATGGCTTCAGAGAAGGTCCTCGGCTATCTATCCGTTGCTGCTGGTTTGCAAACTCGTCGTCTGGGCCAGGCCCAATGGTGACTGAATGCTCCGGCGCGTCGCTCTCATCGGAAGCAGCGTCAACCCTTCTGCCTGCTGAGACATGTTAACGTACTGGCCTGCCTGGGGGTTGGGCACATACCTGTACTAACACTGCAGGATTTTTCAACCTTGCCATGTGCAGCTGCTAGAGAGTTCTCAGGCGGCGGGAAAGACGTGTCGGATCGGCCATCGTCGACATCGTCATCAGACTCGCCATCGCTGGGGATCAGGATAGCATTGTCGAGTGACTTCCCAGCACTGCCGTGTTGAGAATCGTTCGCATCCTGGAGCGGCGGTGGCGGGTGTGAAGGAGTTCCCAAGATGGGTGCAGAAGGGTTCCCCTTCCGAACCAGAGGACCGCGGCTCACAGGCTCGGAACCTGCCGCCACAGTGGGGTTGTGAAATATCTGGCTGTCGAGACAGACTGTTGCCATTGCACTACCGGTGATACCGCGCGTTGTCGAATTGCACAAGATGTCGACTGGTATGGAGAGAGCAGTTCCGGAAGCATTGGCGTTCCAACTTGCCATCTCCGGTTCTGGGGCATCGGGGCACGAGCGAAATATATCGACGTGCGCGGAGAAAGGTGGAGTCGACTGCAGAACTGGCAAAGAGCTGGACCCAGCCTCCAACTCCCTATCCGCTCCACAATCCCAACGGGCTTGCAAGGAACGTGCTCGGTTGTGAAACGCATCGTCGCATGCGGTTCACCGAGGTGCGGGCTGAGACGAGACATCGATTCACCGGTCCCTCGTACCTCCGCCAATCATGCAGTTGCCGAGACCAGAAAGGAGAGGCGTAGAAAAGGGGAGCCAACGTAAACGCCTGCGTGCGTCTGTCCGCATGCGCCTCCCCTCCATTTTTCGCCTCGGATGGCAAGGCAGAACCTCGTTGATTCTACCAACCATTTGCTCCTCGGGCCCGATTTGCCTCGCCGTCGTTGAAGTAGAGGCAGCCAGGCCACGTCATCTCTTCGGGCCACATCGGCCGCCTTGCCGGCAGAGCCTTACCATCACTGCCCGCTGCAGCCTTGAATCCGGCATGTGCCCCGGAATAGATTGCAGTTGCATCAGGAGGCCAACCTGCCGCTTTCGTAACCGGTCGTCTGCAGGTCTCGCCGCAGCTATTCTGGGATTCGGTCCGATTGCGACCAAAGGAGGCTCCCCGATCTGCAGGCCGAAACGCCCTGAATGCGCCAGGCAAATTGAGGCCTTCCTAATGTCTCAACATTTGACGTAATCGAAACCTGCGGCATTTATGTGACTGGTCAGGATGCGCGGGTCCTGCAAATTGCACGGGGAAAACGGGGGACCTACCAGGCAGACATGGATCCAAATCGTGCGGCCGAAAGGAAGCACCGTGGCGGGCAGGGCGGGGGCAATGGGCGAGGGGAGAAGAGTAACCAAGCGGGTGTTTGAGAGGCCCAAAACGGAAAGGAAGCTCGAGGTCGAGTCGGAATCGAGCGTAGAGTCGAGTCAGGAGTTGCGACTGACGAATGCACGGCCAAAAGGCTGAGAATGTCTTGGTTGGAGAGCGGTAAAAAGAGTAGAGCTTTGGAGAATAAACTGCAAGCTGAAGTATAATCGCTGCGCGAGGCGACGGCCTCTGGCTAAGGAACGCCAAAGAGGGCCAGGACAAGGCATCCAGCCTGGCAAAGCGGGTGTCGGGGCGCGGGCGACATTGGCCGGCGAGCTGCAGGATGAAGGGGGCAGGGAACATGCGAAGGAGATGAGGAGGCGGGGACCGAGCGAGAGGATGAGGGAGGGAGAAAGTCGAGAGTACAAAAAAGCGACGTTAGAGAGAAGGATCTCTATTTATGCTGCGGGCGCAGCCGGGCCGTGCGAGCATGCGAGTTTGACGCGGCGCTATACCCGATCGGGAGGGCCGCTAAACCCGGCGGGTGCGACAGCGAGTTCCGCATTACGGCAAAAACGTGGGGCCTAGGGCTGGCCAAAGCACGAGAGTTATACTCAAAGTGCATCCGGTCAGCGCTAGCGTACGGCGCATCATCCTTTCACACCCCCACCGAGAAGGGGGGTGAGCCAGCAACGAGAGGGATCACCAAGGCGCTTGGAAAAGCTCAAAACAAGAGTCTACGGATAGTGGCAGGAGCCTTCAAGTCCACACCCACTCGGAACCTTGAAACGGAGACATGGGTACCGCCACTGGACCTCTACTTCAACAAACGATTGGCTGACTTTGAGGCCCGGCTTCAAATGCCGACTCTGGCCGACGGCCGAGGCGGAAAGAAGACTGCAGGGAGTATTGTTCATGCGGCCTGCGGCAAGATATATCAGATATTCAACTCGAGGACGGATAACAGGGGCCGACCGCGAGCCTTTGGGCCGCAGGAGCCCACAGCGGTAGAAGAAGCCGCTAACACAATTGCAGTTTGGACGGGAAGGACTGCCGACACGGACAGAGTCATGGAGGAGGCCTGGAGAGAGAGGTGGCTCAAGGAACGAGACGGCCGGACAGCAACGAGGCCCGCAGATGACCTTGACCACCAGCACGAGACTCTGTTCCAAGACAAAACCCTAA